ACACAGGTGAAAACCCTGCAGCATAGGGTCATATGGACAGATTTGCACTGGATGAAGAAATTATTGATGATGTGGCATTGCCTAAGACAGCACTGGTTGGAGGAGAAAAGTCCACATGGTGAATCCCATACCCTGAGAACATAGAGTGTGAGTTTGGAAGCTGTGTTTGTAGCACTTGAGCCAATTAGTTTTGCCTGTCATCCAGATTTCTTATTTTTGGTTCAGCCTTATGCTAGGAATCTTCCTGTCCCCAAATTAGCTCAGTGTCATCACCACACTCCCTTGTGAGGAGCAGGCTTGCTTGTCCAAACTGCGTTTCTAATGATGAAAAAGAGTATTGCTCTTTATTTAGCCATGCTTTCAGAAGACTGTTCTGATAACACTAGGCACAATCATAAAATAAAAGACTACAATGTTGGACATTATAAAACCGTTGCAGTGTTGGCAGTTGACAGAAAAAAATGACTTGGTTCCATCCTAGAAGATATTTTCAAATTAGAAATGTGATATGTATTTATTTAAGTCTCTAATGACATTTCTATCTAGTCTTCACAGAGTTGTTATCTTTGTGGGAAAGGAAGTGACCAAATGGGTTTCTGCTCTGCAGAATGACTGTAAATGTCACGCTGGACTGGACAGCATCTTCTGGGTTATTGAGTCTAGTCGCCTACTCTTGAAAACAACCACATAATATAATTGTGACTGCATGTCACTTATTTTTCTTCTTGTCTATGATGGTCTACAGAACCAAATAAGATGGGATAAAATGAATCGAAAATGACGTTAATAAAACGAACAGTTCTCAGTGGCAGAGAAAATGAGCAAATGTGTTTGGTACGAACATCTTTTCATAGTTGCTGCTGAATGCATATCTTTATGTTTTGCTAAAACATAAATTGAAACATCCATGCCTTTTTTCAAGTGGTGGCTAATATCACCCTTCTGACCAAGCTATTTAATGTATTGTCTGATGGATGCTGAGAAGCTTCAAGGTTTTTAAAAATTTGTGAGAGTTGCTTTCATGGTAGAACTTGCTTTTGAGCAAACTGATTTTTTTTTTCTTTTGTTTTCCTCCCCCACCCCCCCATATTGAACTGGTGATTCACTGAGTCTTCCTAAGCTCTTAAATTTGTGGAATTTATTTTCAATATATCTATAACATATTATGTTGTGACATGCCAGATGGAGGAGTGCTTTGAACGGAGAAGGGTATTATTGGTGGACTTAACTCCGTCTCTCCTTAGCTTCCTGCTTCATTATAATTTTTGCAATCTGAAGATCACTGTCATTAATATTCGAGTAGGTAGTGTTGTAGGCCTACAGTTTGTGGGGTCATGGTTTTCATGGTTTTATTTCCCTTGTGTATGGTTGTGTTTATACACATTAGATTATACTGTACTGCTAACATATTACTAAATGCTGTACTATTTTTCTTTGCCCCCTACTCTCTTGATTGCCATCTTAAAAGTTTATGGCTTATGTACAGATATTTTTAGGATGCTGATTTATTGTGTAAAAGGGTATTTTCTTGTCGGACACTACCTTGTGAGAAGCAGAATTGTATCTCGCTGATACTCTAACTGCCCATACATTTTTACATAGTAAAATCAGCCTGCTTTGTGTTTGGTAAAAACTACTGCTTCTGAGCCTTCAGTTACAAAATAAGACACTTAAAACAAAAAGGAAGATAGGATCTTACAGGCAGAGATCCTAAGGAGAATACTTACAAATTGCTAAGTGTAGTTGCCTGCAGTGGCAGACAACTTTATTATAAAATACTGCTAATAAACTCATTAAATTCCATCTCAAAAATAGTTACATTATTTTCCCTATTGTTCCTGATGGATAGCTGTTCTGAATATTATTCTCTGATGTGATTCCATTTTCTGTTGCAAATCACTTCTGTAGTCAGTGGTTTTTTTTACCTTGAATGCATGCTTTCCATTTGATAAAAATTGTGGCAACCTTTTGAAAGGTTTAGCTTTAAGCTTTCTAAGATAGAAGAAAAATACTAGGGGCAAATTCTTATAAATAAAGTCTGTTGGTAGTAGCAAATTCTGCAATACTGATTCTCAAATTTTTGTCCAGTGTGTATTAATGATAAACAGTCTGATTTTGAGATGTGTATGCAAGCCTGAAAATACAACCATTTGTTTTCTTCCTGCTTTCCAACATTTTCTTTCCACATAATAATTTTTGTCCCAAGAGATGCTCCATTTTTTTTTAACATATTGTCTAAACCTAGAAACTATCTGTGCATAAAAAATGGAATTCTCTTAGGATTAGTGATAAACCAACAATGGACTTTATATAGTCTGTCTGGAGTACATAAAACACAAACTGTTTTTGATGAGAGAAAAATACTATATATGACAAACAAAAAAGATACTTTATTGTACATTGTCAGGGTTTTAATATCTCTCTAATTCCTGTTATGCAAGATGAATACATGAGCAGAAGCCCTCTGTCAGTGGCCATGTCCACAATTTAAAGCAAATAAGACATAGGCCAGCTGCATAATCTTTGTTCTATTCTAATTTTAACTTTGGTACTAGATTTGGAAGATACTTTGAGTGAATGGCAGGTTTCCCATAATGATGTGTTTTGGTTATTCCCAAACTATTCCTAACTTCAGAATGAATTGTTTCATGACTTTTGGCTAAAACCAGTTCTTTTGAAACGTAGCTCAGGCTCTGTTGGAGCACATTTTTGTGTCTTTCTCGACCAGTAGCTGCAGAGTTAGATGTGGGAGCTCCTGAGTTTCATCTTTTGTCTGAAATTATTTGTCCCTATACTGCCTGTTTGTCAGGAAAGTAAGTAGCTGACCATCTGCCCATTCAAGGCTGGATAGTGTCCTGCTCCCCTTTTGATGCTGTTCTATTTTTTTGTTAGTTAATGTATGAACATTTACTAGACTCTGACTGAAACCTGGTTGAGTGCTCTTACTATAGTAGTAACGTATTGATTTTATGTTACTGACTTGCTGCCTGATTTTATAATTGTGTAAGTATTCTATAAGAAACAGAACAATTTCAACAGGAAAGACTGGTAAATGAGGTGACTCTTTTCTGTCTTTGCTTTCCTTCCTTTCAGTTTCATTCTCTTTCTTCTTTCCAGCTTCTTTTCAGTCTATTCCCCGTCCTCTTCCCATTTATATTTTCTTTCTCTTGTTCATTCTGTCCCCAGATTCCCTCCTTGCATTACACTACTCTTCATTTTCTGACATCCCATTAATCTTCCAGTCCTTATGGCTTACTTTCCCACCTCCACAAGCACACCCACAGGATACTTAGAAATTTTACAGCATACCCAGTTGTCAAAAAGCTAAACCTACAAGTCCCAGACCCATAATACTATGCTGGGAATGCTCATTAACTCCCACACTGTTTGGAAAAAGAAACTGGTACAGTTAGTATAAGGTCTGCAAACCATAATACGTGCCTAATATTGCTTCGCTTTCCTCTAAACCTGGAAACTCCTCACTGGAGATGGGGTAGGAGATGGGATCTGGCTTTTTTGCTTCAACTATGGTTCTGATCTTTGCAGAACCCTAGGAAGAATGACATGAATGTGTAGTTATAGTGCTGTGACCTCTGAAACACTAGGTTTGAGGAGAATGCACTGCTCATCAATGGATCAGAAAACCTGTTGCAGTAGGTGGATGTACCAGCAAGTGGATCCCCAACACAGCAGCCTCATCGTAGCTTTACTGCTGTGGTAGCAGTGCAGGTTCCTCACACCTGAGAGGCAGATGAGCACACCCGCTTTCTTTGACTCAAGAATGCCCGGGTAAGAAAACTGTGACCTGGGGAAGATGAAGCGGAGTTGCATTGGTCTTGCAGTAGACCCTTTTAATGCTAGTGGCTACTACTGCTGCAGCCACCAGCAAGAAGCGTGCAACGGTGTAAGGTCTCACTGCCTGATGAGAGTCAAAGTGGGGTTTCTAGTGGGACATGCCTGTGGTCTCAGATGCTTCTGTCCAGTCTGGGTGCCAGGATTTCTGCCAGACCATGTTCTTTACTGCTGGCAGAAGTCACTAAGAAAAATGACAAAAGACTGCATCTCTAATGTGTGTATGATCAACTGATCACCCCCTCCACTAATTGCCTGTGAATGCTAAATAAAAAAGCAGTATTCAGTGTATGGATGACAGTGCATAGTTTCCAAAGGCAGTAATTTGAGGCTTTTCTCCTGCTAAATAGCACCCCTGCCAGTGTTTAGTGTTGCTCAGTGGAATTATCATCAGATTTAATCTTAATCAAAGGTCTCTTAAACAACGGACCTGAATAGTTTTTGGATAGTTTTCACTCTCCTGTATTTTGGGAAAGCTCTGAACAATACAGAGACACTTGAGCTTTTTTTTTTTTGGACTTTGGAAATGATCACGGTGTCGCTTTGCACTCTTAATTCTGCTGTGAGGAAGTTATTATCAGTGTTGGAAATAGAAACGTAGAAATACAAGCTTAAATTGTGCAGTAGTCAGTAGTAGGGGCTTGACCTGCTTGCCTCTGCTTGTCTTTGGTTAATATTTTTTCTTAAGTCTGTATCACATTTAATTAACTGTGTGGCACTTAAATGACAGTACTGTAACAGATACCCTGTGTTAAAACAATATTACTAGCTACACCATAGCTGAATATAGCTGTATTGTAACTAACCTTGGAATTACTGGATCAATCACTGGTAGCCCACCCCAGGTTAGATACTACCAGCAGTGCTTCCAGTTCCTTTTTTACCATTCTTCTTATTCAGAGGATAGCGCCAAAGGGAGCTAAGCAAAGCATTGCTAAGCAATCAAAGGAAATCAATCCTCTCCTTTACCCTCTGTTCTCTCTTATGCAGTAAGGGTGCCAATTATTTAATGTTAAATGAAATGAATTAGCAGACTGAACTTAAAGATGAACCTGCCCAGTAAAATCATCATTTTATCATCATGGATGAAAAAAACCCTATAGTACAGTTAAAGATAATAATTATTTTTTAAAATCTTCTTTCTCTAGAATCCTACTCAAGTGGGAACTGCTCTTCAGGTTTTCCATAACCTTGGGACTTTGAAGGATACCATTGCTAATGTGGTGGATGGATACTGCTCAGTCCTGGAGGAGAACATAAAAAATGCTTTGGATATCAAAGTATTGACCCAACCATCTCAAACTGTTACGAGAGGTATAATACTTGTTTTACAGAGAATGATAACTGATTTTTTTGACAGAAGTACAGTATGTTGTCAAATGGAAGAAACTCTCACAGCCAAGCCTGTTATAGAAATATTTCCCTGCTTGCTTTAACCAGTAGAGGATGGGAGTAAGCATGTCTCAGAAATCATCTAATACAAAGCCAAAATTGGTTCTGTCTGTTGTTACTGGGCTCAGTAGTTGCCCTTTGTTCCACCCCCCCCTCTTTTTCCTGACTTGCCCAGAAACTTGTCTTCATTAGTTTACTACTTAACAGCATTTTCTTAGCAGTTTGTCATGGAAAGATGAATCCAAATTCTGCTTTCTTTGTGTTGGTGGGAGGATCATGGGTAGAAATTATTTGCAAGCAATGGAACAAGCCTGAAACTACATTGTGATGCTTTTGTCAGATGGAAATCATAGAATCATAGAATTGTTAAGGTTGGAAAAGACCCTTAAGATCATCAAGTCCAACTGTTAACCTTTCACTGCCAAGTCCACCACTAAACGATGTCCTCAAGCACTACGTCTATCCGTCCTTTAAATACCTCCAGGGATGGAGACTCAACCACTTC